GAAGTTATTAGCTGGACTTGGGGAGCAGAGTTACATTCCAACTTTCCCGCTCATTTTAACCGGCTCAGCACCGGCTTAAACCATATACCATAGACCTCAGTATTTCCAGCGCAGAATTTTGCTCAAATTAGGCATTCTAAATTGTTCTGAACTGTGCTATTGGATATGAACAGATTAGAACTAGTTAAAATAAAAAGCAGTCTCTATTTAAATGACCAAAACCAAATCATTTACAGTGCTCACCACCAGAATTTAGGACTTTCATACCATAATTGAATGTAAAAAATCCTGTTTTAATTGAAGAAACAGCAGTATGATATAGACACATTTTTAACCATCTTATGAGTTTAGTATTTTGTTTGTTTTCAAAGTGATGTTGAACTTTTTCTAATCAGGCCGGTGGCGCAGGGGCAGGGAAACGAGGCTAAAGGTGCCGTCACTCTACCTCCCTGTTATCCACACCCCTTTAGCTCGAGGCCTGTGAGATGTCCCGGTGTCCCTGGAGGGCCTGATCCCGGACATGTTCCTCTACACAGTGGAAGTGACTTTTTACTGTTTGTGAGGTTGCTCCACTGTCCAGATTGTCTTGTAGCCTTAACTGCTTCGTCGGAGTAATCGTCACACTGAGTACTGCTGTAGAAATGAAAAGACATAAGACTACGGGAGAATAAAATATTTTTGAGATTTGTTTCACTTCAGTTATACCCAATTTCATGGACTTGCAACTGAAATTCGGATGCTTTTTTTCCCTTAGAAAATAAATGAACTTAATGGGGCAAATAATATTGTGTGTCTCTAATTGAACAGTGGCACAAACTGGGTGTTTTATGGCTTTATGTTTCATTCTGTTCCCAAACCGAACGGATTTCTTACCATTTCACAATAAAAACTGATATATCCTAGAAGATTTTTCCTGAAGTCGAGGTGTATTTTTATGGAAATATTCCATTTTCAAACAGCACTCCTGTGCTGGCCTCCATCATTTTTGTGTTCTCATTTCAGTGTCCACATTTCTGAGGTGCGCTTGTGTCATTTCAGCGAGTGCAGGCAACATTTTGCAAACGCTCCTGAGACGTTTCCGGAGGTCATTTTCGAAGACTGTTATTATTTACAAATATATTAAGCTTATATAATACTATCTTTTATTTTAAAACTTCATAATTTACTTCTAGTGAAACGATGACAAAGAATTAAAGCATTTATAGACTATAAATTCACCCATCATTTCTCTGACAAAAGATTAAGCCATGTCATTAAAGTTTCAAATAACAATTAATCATCCATAGTGTAAAAACCAGTGTATGAGATGCCAGGTTTCTTGCTTTTGAAAATATTTACTAAAGAGATTAGGTAGATCTAAACACTAAGCAGGATAGCAACATGCTCAGAATTCAGTTCTGATTCATTAGGGTTGCCATGTATGGATTAGCAACTTTTAAAGAACCCAAATGCACTGACAGTTATCCAATTACCAAAGCTCCATGGACCACAACTTAATCTTTCTTTGATGATAGATACCAAAGGAATTTCAATATCTGATGCACATTATCATAATTAAAAATTACATATCGTTGTATTAGAAGAGCATAAAGCCACCTGTTAATAACATCCTCTAGTGGATGAAGAGCCAGGAAGGTTATATATCAAATGGAATCATCTTTGGCCAAGGGAGTTGGTGACCTTCTGTTAGACACAGCATAGTCTAGAAATTTCTTACAGAAGGTAACTCTGCTTCTTCAGCATCTTCAGATGGTCATCTCCTCTGCCATATGAACAACTCAATGAGGTCTCAGGAGAACCCTTGCTAGTCAGTCTGTGGTCTGCAGACCAACCGCATTGCATTGTGTGGGAGCAGGTAGGAAATGCGGAATCACAAGCCCCTCTAGACTCCTTGAATCAGAATGTGCCTTTTCACAAAAGCCCAAGTGATTGGCATGCACCCCAAAGTTTGGGGAGCAACCCAAGAAGGTAGCCCTCCCCTCCCCTTCTACCATCTTGGACTCCTTCTCTAAGTGGAAGGGAGTAAGCAATACAACGCATCGTGTGTGTGCCTGCTCTCCTTAGTGTGTGGGTACAAAGAAAGAGACGCAGATTTTGTGCAGAAACTTCACTTTTTCTTCACGGGGGTACCTCCTAAGCCCATAGCAATAGTAAACGTAATAGTAAACATAATAGTAAACGTTAGCAATGTAAGTTGATGTTTCTAGCTAGGCCAAAATCTAAAGTTGTCTAGACACTTGGTCTTGATATTCCCATGCCCTGCTCCCCAGAAGCAGATTAACTTGTAGAAGATCCTGATAACTTATCAGTAGAAAGAGGAAAGGATGAGTCTGTAAACAAAGGACATTTTTAAGGAAGTCACTATACCCTAATGACAAATATCTTACAAGCATCCATTACATGCTGGGCACTGCTGATTATTGGAAGTGTAAGATCAATGACGTTGGGATCCTGCCTTCAGAGGAACCGGCAGCTAGTAGGTCTCACGCAGAATGAAATGGCACTCACATGCACTGGTGCAGTTACTCGGCCCCCCGAGCCTCAGTTTTATCAGCTGTGCAATGGACTTGATAACAGTGTCTTTCACAATGTCGAGAGGAGGATAAAATGAGATGGTGCTTGTGCAGCAGTTACAGTTCATGGCATCTAATAAACACTGGGCACATGTTATTTCCATAAGTGAGGGCAAGTGTAATTTCAGAAATACTGTTGCTGAAGCATACACCAAGTCCCCTGGCTGTGTCAGAGAAGGGAGCCCGGCCGGAGTCAGACCAGCAGGGCTGGGGAGGGCTTCCCGGGGGATCCGAGTCCTGAGGTGGATACTGAAAGATTGGCCAAGTCCCTTTGAGCAGAGAAAAGGTGAAATATTCCAAACAACGGAAATCACAAATATCCAAATCAAGGGGCATGCACGTTTTTTCCTGGGCATCAGCAAGTGGAATGATGGGACCAGGATGGAGAGAGACAAGGTGTAGAAAGAATGACTCAGGAAGGTTTGCTGGGGCCGGGTCGTTGCAGGGTTAGGTATTGAATTCCGAGGTGTTTGAACTTAACGGAGCAGTGCCAGGCTCTCGGAGATTGTTGAGCAGGGCCCCTTGGTGTGGAGGTGGATGGAAAAGGATCTCCTCAGAGACTCACAGATGTCGCCCCTCCAAACGCCAGACCCTGACTGCCAGCTGTGCACCGGGTCCAGATTTCATCAGCCTCCAAACCAAGATTCTTCTCTTCTGACTCTGTCCTTCTGCCTGTGTTCCCTGTCCGGCAAAATGAAATAGCATCGCCACTCACAGAGTCCTTCCAGCTGAAAACGAGCAGTCCTCCTTGCATTTTCACTTCCCTGGGGCTCTTCCTCCATCTCCTCCCTGGCCTTGGCCCTCTCCCTCCCAGCTGCTCGGCTGCTTCGTAAACACTGAACCTGTAAACACAGTGACCGTCTTGTCACTGGGCTAGTGGAGACAGAAGCCTCACCTTCATCCTCTTCTCTTTCTCCAAAACATCTTGAAACAAACTTGGGCTTCATTAGGCCCCTTTTGCCTTCAGGTCTGCATTCCTTACAGCTCATGCCCTCACACACTTTTCCAGTTTTACTTCTAAATTCCCTTAAAAGGTGCTTTGCCATCTCGCTGTTAGTAAGTTTAAGGTTTGTTGTGGAAACAACCAGACTGGGACTGAGCACATTTAATTTATGGCAGTGGAGGTGCGGAGGCTGTCGCTCCGACATGAGTGTACAGGTTTCTTGCAGCGGCATCGCTCGTAATCCTGTGAACCAGCCGACCTGAGAATAAATGGTTTCCTCGCATGTGCGCCCGTGGCTGACCGCTTCGCCCGCACCGAGCCACGTGCCAGCAATGGAAATGGTGCCCATTGGAGCCACTCCCCGCTGTCACGTCACACTGCCGTGTCCCAGACTTCGGGTGTGGTTTTCATGTTCGCAAAGAGAGTTCAGGAACAGTGACAGAATTCTGCAGTTTCTCTTCTTGTTCTGCAACGGCTGATACGGGGGAGCATATCTGGCTTGTTTCCCACATTGGCGCCTAAGTTTCTCGGCGTCGGATGGTAACTTTAAGTTGTAATGCAGCTCATTTGCTCGGCCACGGGGCTGCTGGTCTCCATAGCTGGGCCGTCTGGTGTCCTGTGATGAGTGTTTCGTTTGAGAAAACACACTGTGAATGTCCAAAGGGGCTAGATAAGCGGTTCCAGGGCAAGCAGAGTTCAGCTCCTTTTTATCAGAACTGGAAACTCGAATATTTTTACAGCTGTTTCAAAATATCCAGTTTACTCGTTACTAACTTCCTTCTGAAAATTCCATAGGAGCTCAACACCTTACAGATCGCTATGTAGAAGATTACAGGACAGTGTTGTGGTTTTTTTTGCATTTTATAATTTTCTTTTCTTCATTGTTATGATTTAACATTTCCCTGAAAATGTTCTTTCTTTCAACTTACTACTAGCAGCAGCTTTCATGTATGATTAATCCTATAGATATGTAAGTGAGGAAAAGACCAGTTATATGTGTGTAATTAAATTATCAGAGTTGCTGCTTATTTATTTTATATATGGGTCCTCAGGTAAATTAAATTTAGCATGTGTTAATAAACAGGGAAATTACTTATTCAAAGTTTACCTTTATTAGGTAAATTCATATCTTCATAGGGATTTTAAAGATTATAGTGAGCCTTTCTATGAAAAAGACTTTATAAAAAATACTCTAAAATAGAACACAGAGACTGATTTCAAGTTTGTAAGTTACAGAATCACTCACTTTTGGTACGAGGTGGCCGATATGTATACTCTCAGAGAACTTGAGGTGGACACTTAGCCCTTCTGCTCTTTAAGGATTTGACTTGAGTGCTTTGCACCAAAAATTTACATACAGCATTTGCGGATATTTTTTGATGAACAGTTACTGTCATGTTAAGTCAGAAAAACAATCTTCCTTCACCAGGCAAGTGAAAGTGAAATCGGATTCATGAAAAGGTGTGTTGCTTTTTGTCTTTCAGGCCTGAAGATTACCGGCTGTAGGAGAATGAAAATTGCAGAAAATCGCAATGAGGTGATTGAAACTTCCTCCTGCCGAGCCTTTCCTAACCCACGGGCCGCTTGAAGCATTGCTGCATCGAACAGGAAGCCCGTTACGGGTGCTGAAAGTTTGTGGGGAGAGGTCGGGAAGGGATCTTCCTTCAACAGCAAGTTTCAGTACATGTATTTTGTGGAATTGCTTTATCGTGTAATTGGATTAGAAAGTTATCAGTGGCGATAAGAATAAAATTGCGTACTTGGCTAGCTGTTGTTTTTCATTCAAGAAAGAACAAGCCCTGGGTAGCACAGCGGTGAGCGTTGCCAACAACCGCCCATCCGTACACATTTGCTCAGGTTCCCAGTCGTGCTTCCTGCCAACTGGGAACGCAGCCCACCTGCACTTTTCCTTTCAGTGACTATTTCATCTGACCTCCCATCCACCTAAATTCGGCCCTCCAGCCCAGCCAGGTTCGACCTAAGGCATTTACAAGCTGCTGTCCTCTTCTGTCTAGCCTCTCAGTCTCCTTGACACCAAGATAACAAAGTGATGCCCAGCTACGCCCTGGAACCCTCACTGCTGCACCCTGGGGGGGCACTGTCCGCAGACACCCCCACCCCCCACGCCACACCTCCATGCTTCTCGGTATCTCTATAGGCTCCTACTTCTGTCTGGGCACTTAGGTTGGGACACTGGAATGAGCCATCAAAGTCTCTCCTCTGGAAATCAGATGCTGAGCCACTGTATTTGCCCATTTTTATGATAATTATTTTCCTCTTTTCTTGCCCTAGCCAGTCAAGGGATAGATTTCAGACTGCCTTTGCATTCATTCAGCAACCGTGTATTGAATGCCTGCCTGCTACCTGCCAGGAACGGCGCTAGCATCGAGAGAACAGAACTTGCACATCTTCCCCTGACACGTGCCCCAGCACAGAGCACACAGGCTGTCGCGGGGTGGGAAGGAGCTCTAGATGGCCTTGCAAATATGTGTGTCTGAGTGTCAGAGGCGCCGCTGTAACGACGTGTGGCCTGTCGTGTATGTTACAGTAATGGCACTAAGTATGAAGTATTGCCAGCAACCCCCTGCTCATGTGCCAGATACAACTGCTTTACATAAATAATCCATTTAATCCATACATCAACCCTATAATGTGTGTAATGTTACCCTCCTCTTGTAAAAATAGGCACGCCGAGGCAGCAGTGTGACTTGGTCAAGGTCACCACTGATGAGTGGTTAAGTTCAGGATTTGGATCCAGGTTGACTGGCTCAAAAGCCAGTGGACTCAGCCCCTGCTAGACGGGAAGAAGTGTATATTTATGTTCATATTTCACAAATTCTGTAATCAAGCAAGCATGATCTGGCACAGGTCAACAACTGCCATTCACAACGAAGTGGCAGATATTTAAGCCGTTGGACCGAAAAGCAGCTCCGCCCCTAACGTCTGATGTGCTCATCTTCGGTGGGAGCCAATGTGCAATAAGCCCCCAGCTCCTGAGGCAGCAGCTTTAATCAGGAGGGATTTGTTCCGTCTCCTGTATCCTAAGCACCTGGAACAACGTCTGGCACATTTCTCAACCAGGAAATGCTCACAGAAGAAAGTCCTTTACACCAAAACTGCAGGACTCGAAGCGGTGAGGTCGTTTAAAAACGTGCCCTAGGGAGTACTGAGCCCAGTGGTCATAACACTAAATATCCAGAGTATTGAGGCTAACCCTCAACCTCACCTGCTGTGCGGGGGAAGGCCTGCCAGATCCTGCAGTCACGGAAACCGAGGTAGGGCCATCTCCCCCCGGTAGGCTGAATTGCTCCAGCTGGCTGTCAGGAGCGAACTGCATTTCGCATTCAGAGAACCAGAGCAGGCAGACTTGCACCGTGTAAGTGGCCCATTTGCCCTTGAACAGCCTGACCTGCACCTGCCCTCAGAGACCACAACCCCAGGCAGCCCAACAAAATCACAGCTCAGTGAATGGAAACGGGGGACCTGGTGACCTGAGGGAGGAGGGCAGCCTGGGAACAACGGGATCGCAGCTCCTATCGGAGTACAATGAACAGAAGAATCAGAACTGTAAAAAGTAAAAGCTTTTGCAGAAAAAGAAGGAAACCCTAATTGTTTCAGGAACCAGGTGGGAAGGAAAAGCAAGCTCATATATATATATTCTGTTGCTATGTATGTCTGTAATGTGAAAATTAGTGCACATAAATAAGGAATTGTGTCACTAAAACAGAATGGCCTATGTTCATACGCAGTTTTCCCCAGGTGCCTGTGCGCTACGCTATTGGGTAACACCAGGTAAATGTGAAAACCGTGCAGCTGAGTATAAATAATGACCTGTGGGAGAATAACACAAAACACCTCTCTCCATTTTACCCACGTGCCTTGCTTGCTGTAGTTACTCAGTAAAAAACCTGAGGAAGTGCCCTGATTATAAGTGGGAAAGGAAAAAAGGAGAAGCCTCAAGTTCTGCGAAGTTTTGAAACCAGAAAATGTGCTATGGCGACGTCCAGTCGGCCTAAAGCAACCACATGGATGGACAGGGGAAACAACGCTAAAAACGGAGAAACCGAGCTTGCTCGTAACTTCCCCCAAACCACCTGCTCTCCGGGGAACCGAGAACTGGAAGCCCTCATCTGCACTGGGCTCGAGATAACTACAAACCTCGTGCAACGGGAGAGCGCTCTCTTGTCATCTGATCTCCTTTGGGGCCCGACAAACAGCTTCTCTATGCGAAGGGGCAGTTGACAGAATGAAAGTTGGGTTCTGTTTTTCAGCCAGTTCAGAGGAACGAGAAACAGGACAAGAAGCCCCAACCACCTGCCCCATTTCATTAGAAAAACCATTAACACCTCTACTGAGCAAACTTCACATCTTGTCAAAATAACACCCTATGTTTTGTAGAATGTGTCTTTATTATGAATGTGTGATGTTTACATTAAAATGGTGGTAGTTTTCTTGTACCACTTACGAGATGGTTCAAGGTTGGAGTTTTCTGCCCCAACTCCATTTCCCCAGCAGGGGCATCAAACTCATTTTCACCAGGGGCCACATCAGCCTCACGGTTGCCTTCAAAGGGCCAAATGTAATGTAGGACTGTGTGAATGTAACTCCTCCTTACCTAGGGGCGAGGAGCTCTACACTCGGCAACCTCGAGGCTGACATGGCTCCCACTGAAAATGAGTTCGCCACCTCTGCCATAAGCCCTGTGATTTTGGGAACACAAATTCTATCACGCTGGGAGTATTTCTTTAGGGACGCATACACCACGTTATAGGACAGGCGTACTCACTAATTGTTGGTTTGTCACATCCTCCAGCAGAAGTGGCCACAAGAAATGCCGTATGAAGATCTGGTGCCATCTCCGTGTCATGGCTGGGTCGTAGCAGGGAGCACCTCGCTGCAAGTCCTCCTGAACGGGCAGGGCACCGCCGCTGTCACGGCCGGTTCTCACCCCCAGGTGTGGCGTATCTGCCCCTTCAGTCAGGGCCTGGCAGGTGAGGTGGGTCAAGGTAAAGCCGGGTTCTAAAGCAGGTCTTTGAGACCATCCTTTGCCTGGACTGCAATCATTCCCTTTCTTATCCCAACTTCTACTCTCAACTTACAAAGTGGATGGTAAGTTAGTGAGACTGATGATACACAACGTCTCTTGGTTTAGACACAGTGGGCCACGTGGGGGGCCCAGAGACCAGGGCTGGTGGTCGTGAAGCGATGCTGCCCTCTTTACAAGGACTGAAGGGTGAACTTTGTCTACTTTGTCTCACTTTGTAAGGTTTAACCCAAAGGGAGGTTTAAAAAACCGTGCGGGCATAAAAAACGAAATTGAAACAGACTCACTCACAGGTACAGAGAACAGACCGATGACCGACAGATGAGGGGACTTGGGGAACTGTGCGAAAAGAACTAAGGGGTGAAGCAGCACAGATTGGTGGTTACAAAACAGTCACAGGGACGCAAGGTACAGCGTAGGGAATATAATCAATCGTACTGTGATGACTATGTGCGATACCAGTTGGATACTGGGAGTATTGAGGAATCACTTTGTAAAGTACGTGATCGTCCAACTACTAAGCTGTACACCTGAAACCAATACAAACTAATGTTGAAAGTAAGCTGTAATTGAAAAAGGCAAAGTCTCCTGGAAAAAATGCATATAAATTGCAGTTTTTATCATAGTCCTAACAGCTCCTTCTTTTTTCTTGCTCATTCCCTGCAAGCCAGATCTTAGACACTGTCTCTCTTCCTGGGCCCCATCTTTTTTCTATGGCAAAGTTGACTGATTTGTTTTCCTACCTTCTCCTGGAAAAGAGGGTTCATACTACCCTCAGCCAAAAACAACATTCAATGTCCATGTCTTTCCTGGCTGACAGTTTCGCCGTGGAACAGGTAGCAAGTTCTGAGTGTGCGAAGCCTGAGGCCCCAGGGGAGATTCCGCTGCCAATCGCTACAATGCCCAGTTTGAATTGGACAGAGACCGACTTCAGGTCTGATCTTTCCAAGACAGACAGGCAGGCTCCATTTCAACGTAAATACAGGCTCTGACAGAGAAATAGTAATTCTCTCTCTCTCTCTTTCTCTCTGCCCCCAAAATCTAAAAGTAAGAGCTGAACAATTTTGCAGCCTGGTTACTGCTCAGGGCCTCACCTGCACAGAAGGCAGACTGCGCTCTGTACCAGGAGCACAGAGGGCCTCCGCACCTGCGGGCCAGCTTTTACTGGGCCGGCGGCCAGGCCGTGTCAGGATACAGTTTCCACAGGCAGACCGCGTCAGCAGGACCCTCTGAAGGAGACACGTGTCTGTGTCACTGCCATTTGGTCCACGAGAAGCTCTTTGATTTCCAACAAATCTTTGCCTCAAGGCTTAACTTTGCACTCACGGCCCTCACTTTTTACATTCCAAGGTTAATACCTATTAATGGCTTGTACACAGTGGCTGCTAGAAGACTGGTCTGTTTGCAGTGGGACACCTGTGCTTTCTAGGTGGATGCGGCGCTCCAGCGTCTCCACCTGCATTAAGCCGTTCAGAATCGACACTGAAATGATGATGTCACCTGGCGTCTTCTTCAGCAACCACAAAACTAAAAAGAGTCTTGGAATCTGGAGAAAACTCCGGGTATAAAGCATTCTGTCTTTGACTTTTTGGCAGCTTCACAAAGTTCGAGTGAAGTATTTTTATAACTTCTGAGAAAGAGTTATTTTATTATTATGCACTGTCACCAACACGCTGCGTTTGCAGAGCCAGTAAATCATGGAGAAATGTGCACATGAATATTC